TACGTCAATAACGTATAATATAATAACGACGTGTGCCAAATATAGAAAATAAAATTGCAGCTTTAAGCTTTAAATTACTGCAATATTCGGTCAAAGAAAAATCAAGTAACAAAGATTTACCTTCTCTTTTTTTTACCTAGGAAAAGAAATATTCTGACAAATGTCATTCAGGAAATGACTTTCTAATTTTGTTCCAACAAAACTTTTCGATAACTTTTGCAATTAATACCAGAGTAATGAAATTGACGAATTAAAAATTTTTCGTAACGTTACAGAATTCAAAGTATTTTTATAAAATATACGAATGAAAGTTCACTGTCTACCTGGAAATACGAACATTTTCACGTACGTATTACCTTCGTTGCTTAATAATTTTAGTAATCTTCCATTTAAATTTTTGTTAAACATTAATCTCACATTTTCTCTCGGAATTTTCGATGATATTTTACACAAATTTACTTGAACTATTTCATTTCTCCAAATATTTAATAATTATTCTAATTGTTCGACAATTCTGACGATTTTCTACCTTAATTCTCTTCGATTACAAGCACTAACTTGCTAAAATATAAAAATATAAAATATAAAAATATAAAAATATAAAAATATAAAAATATAAAAATATAAAATTAGCACTAACTTGCAAAAACATAATCTGTTAAAAAAACATTTCAAACGAGTCAAACGATTCTATTCTAATTTTGACGACCAATCGTCTACATTAATTTCCTCTCGCGTTGATTAATTATACAATTAACACCAACTTGCGAGAAGATATAGAAATCAGGGGATTTTTAACGAGTCGAACTTCTATCTTAATTTCCTTCCCCCTGCGAATCTCTACACCACGTTGATTAATTATGAAACTGAGCCTGCGACCAACCAGCGAAACTATGAATCAGAGGGACATTCAACGATTAGGCTAACGATTATCGAGACGACGATCGCGAAATGTCGAGGGAACGACGCAGCGGGACACGTTGCAATGCCACGCACGAGTCACCGATCGCATAATCGCGGCGGGACACGTGTGTTGCACCTTGAATCTGACAGTATAATGAGCCCCGGCGTCCATTATGGTAATGTCGGATTATTGATTTGTTTCGAGCGTCGGCGTTTTTTAATTACGCGCCGCGTAGGCGTTCGGCGACACCAGGCTTCGATATAGTTCGCGCGACTCTTTGTTCAGGGAGAATGATCCGCGTTCCTCGTCCGTCTTTCGCACACCTTGGAATCGCAGATGAGTGTTTGCGCGTTTATCTAACAGTTTAAATACTGGAGATGCCTCGACTATTTGACAAATTTATTCTATCATGTTGGTTTGCGTAGTTGGTTATTTTGAAATTACCGCGCGGCAACTTTATCAGTCTTGCGTTGAAAGAAAATTTTTATAATTTACAATTATAATTTTTATAATTAAAATTTTTATAACTTATAATTATAATTTTTATAATTTATAATTACAATAATTTAAAATTATAATTTTTATAATTTTTGTATTATGTATTTTATAATAATATATAATATAACTATTATTATTTCAATATGTAATTTTTTATTGTAATTAAAAATTTCGTAATTCTATGCTAAATTTGATAAGTTTTAAATATCAAATTTAATAAAAAATTTTAAATTTAATAAAAATTTAAATATCTAATACTTAATTTAAATATATTGGAAATTCTCGAACGTACGAGTGAAATTCTTGCCAAATTTTCTTCCCTCTTTTGGGATTGATTAATTCAAACTTATTTAATTGATGTACATGTAATTCAAGTACTGGGAAGTTTCGTGGTTTCATATTTTTGATTTTCCTAGTCTCATTACGGTTAAATCACGTTTATCTACAGAGTATAATAGAAATAAATATTAAGGGAAAATTAAGAATATTAACTATAAAAGTATATTATAAGTATATTATAATAACATATAAGTATGTTAAATATGTCATAATTAGGATATTAACATATAAGTATATTAAATATATTATAAATTATATTATAAATATATAATAAGTATATTTATTATATTAACATATAATATATTATAAAATATATTATAAATATTATAAATATATAATAAGTATATTTATTATATTAACATATAAGTATATAAATATATAATAACATATAAAGTATATTAACTATAAAAATATATAAGAAAATTAACTATAAGAAGCCTCTGTCGTCTGGCTACTATTAACGTCACAAAAATAAACTGATGTGCCATTATTCAAAATTAATTCATTGCCAATCACACTGACAATCCTCAACTTTCACGACACGCCTTTGAAATCCATCCGTTGCTTAAAAATTTTCCTCTTCTGAAATAATGTACACTCTGTTTTGAAATGCAGTCTGCTTTTACTTTGAATAAAAACACTTTCCCGACTTTCTTTAAAAATTCGAAGAAGGAAAGAAAAAAATATCAAAAATTTTCTGGACAATTATCGTTTGTTCGTGAAAAACGAGCCTTAAATGGGATCTTTCGATCGAACCAACTCGACTGATGCCCGACGATATTAAGGAAAATGGCCAGCAACGTTTTAACACCAAACGAAAGAAGAATCTATCCGCTGACAATGTCCTATCGTACATTCTCCTTACACTTTACACGATCGTTCCATTTGCAGCTGTGCAAACATAGTCGTCCATCCCTTCAACGTATATGCACGACACACTATGCAAAAAAATTCTAGGCAACATGCCAGGAGACACTGTGGATATTGTTATTTTATAAGAAAAAAACAATTGTTGTAACTGTTGCGCTGTTCTGATTGTCAGCCATCTTGAATAAATATTTATTCGATGTAACAAGTATATTTATTATTTATATACAATTATAACAATCGGATTGCGGGTTTTTAGACGTTTCTGTTGAGTTTAGGTTAAAAATTCATACGACGCAAAATATACACGTAAAATATATCCTGATAAATGCAAAGTAATCCGTTTGAATTTAATGTTTCATTAATATTAAATTTAATAATCTTAAGTAAATTTAAATAAAATGTTTACTTTTTCATCTCTTTTAGCACGAGGATGAATTTTTGTGCAATCGTGTTTGACTGGTTTCTTAGAACGTTTCTGAACGCTCTGCCATAGCAATAACGATAAAATTCTAAAATCTACAAACAATAAACCTAAACCCCACTTTCTCCGGTTGAAATCTCGACTCTCCGACTTAAATCACACGTCTCAACTTTCTCCGCTGCATAATATTATGCATAATGAACGCTACGCATAAATCTTGTTCTTCAAATCGTTAAATCCAAATCCTTGAATTACTGTTATTACAAACACAGAGGTAATATAGGAATCGAAATGTAAAGAAATAACCGCTCTCTATTAATTATTAATAATCGAGGCTTGAACTACACTTTCAAATCTATCATCTTCAAACACGTCGTATAAAATAAAGTAAAACAGATGTTGCTCCTACAACTATCTTCACGGAAATATAAATTCACATAAACGTTCGTCTGTCTGTTAATTATTAATAATTATTGAAATATTCTCGACAATGCAACAGATTCGAAACGAAATTGTTCAACGAAGACACCGTGTGTATTACTTTTTTGAATCACAATAAAATAAATTACAAATTTTTATCAATTCGTGAGAAACTAAAACGAACGCGTAATTCCATAAAATGTCCAATAATTCCAAAATGCAAAACACTTTTAAATATCTTCGTAAAAATATAAATTTAACTTGAATGATGTATATAATGTAATTACGTAAATATTCTCTACGACACAACAGACTCGAAACAATTATTCTACAAATTTTTGTCAATTCGCGAGAAACTAAAATAAACGCGTAATTCCACAAAATGTCCAATAATTCCAAAATGCAAAACACTTTTAAATATCTTCGTAAAAATATAAATTTAACTTGAATGATGTATATAATGTAATTACGTAAATATTCTCTACGACACAACAGACTCGAAACAATTATTCTACAAATTTTTGTCAATTCGCGAGAAACTAAAACGAACGCGTAATTCCATAAAATGTCCAATAATTCCAAAATGCAAAGCACTTTTAATTATCTTCGTAAAAATATAAATTTAACGTATATAACATATATAATATAATTACGTAAATAGTGTATATAATATAATATACATAAATATTCTCTACGATACAACAGACTCGAAACAATTATTCTACAAATGTTTGTCAATTCGCGAGAAACTAAATTAAACGCGTCATTCCACAAAAAATGTCCGATATGTGTGCGGAACAATTTCACATTGTCTCGGTGCGATCGATTATTTAGAAAAGAGACATGGAGAAACAAAAGATTAATTGTAGATTGGCCGACAACGTTCGAACCGAGGAGGGAACCAAGCGTGGAATCGGGTGAAATCTCGCGAGTCTGAGCAATTATTATACGGCGGTTGGTGGCGGTCGCTGGTGACGTATGGTTATTCAGAGATGCAAATGTGCAGTTTCTGCGGCTGTTGGCCGGCCAGCACACGCGCGTCCCACTTTTCTTTCGCGGTCGGAATTTTATTCGCGGCCTTTCGCGCACCCGAGACACCGACACGCAGCGCGCCGAGAGAGACGGTGTGTCGCGTCCCCTTGTGACACGATAAAACCGAACGGAGAGACTTCTCGCCTCCACTCGTTGTCAGCGTGGCGTTTGCCATACTTTATTTTGCGGTGAAACGCAGCACGCGATACCGCGGCGCCCAGCGTTTTTTCACGGGATCATCGCCAGCGTAGAAAAGATGGAAATACTCGAGGTGTAATAAGGTCTTGCCTCGTGAAATGTCGGTGACATAATTAATACTACCCACAGGTTTAGTGACTACCAATTATTAAAATCGTAACAGGTTTCGTAAAATACGTCGATTTACTCTTAAAGCTTGTAGCATGATATTAAACGTGAAAATCGATACATATGTATTTTTTTAAAAGAGTAATATTTGTTTTTTTTTTTTTTACTGGTACTCGAGTGTATCAATTTATTAATGTTAAAATTGGAACATGAAATTAAATGTGAAAGTCGATACGTTTTTTTCAAGCAGTGATATTTGTTTTTTTTTTAATTTTTTTTAGTTTTTTAGGTTCTGTGATAAGATGAGTTACCAGCACTTGATTATTGATTAATCAATTTAAAATTGTTGCAACTAAAGCATGAAATTAAATGTGAAAATCGAGGCATTGTTTTTTTTTTTTTTTTTTTTTTTTTTTGGCTACGAATTATTGAAGAAATTTTATTATGACTGAATTAATGATGAATTTATCAGTGACTCGCAAAAATTTGATTAAACTTCAAATGTTAAGTTTAAAAAGAGACGAAAATTGTAAAAATAGCCTAATAGTCAAGGTTCGATACAAATCTCTCGGAAGCTGAACTCGACATTTTCCAAATTAACATCGTTCCAACATAATTACCTATGTCTAAAACGCATGACACTTTCATAATATATGTACGTATGTACATTTGTAGAATAATCGTAACTTACTTTTATCATTTAGAGTTGATCGGTATGGCTTTCGAACGATAAAAGAAACTCTTAGAAATACCTGAAACAGAAACAAACGAGACATAAAATTAGTCTCAGTAAAATTAGTTTAGTAAAAGAGGGAAATCAAAACGAAGCTAATTAATTAAACTTAATTTTCTTCAAAAATTATCCAAGAACGTGAAAGTATAAAATACACTATAGAAATGTAATATGTATAAAACATGTGTAATACGAAATGTAACATAGAAAACATAAAATATTTTATTGAAACTGTAGTGGGACACGTTTGCAACGATTTGCATTAAAATTTGAAACCAATCTGAAAAGTAGAGTAGAATCATTTCATAAAAATTTTGAAAAGCTTCGCAAAAGGGTATAGTATCAATCACCTTCACAACGAAACATTCTCTAACCGATCTAGCAACGAAAGAATTATTATTCTTTCATTCGAATGATTTCAGTGAGAAACTGGTAGAGATGCAACAATTATTTCTCGAAATAAATTAAATACAGCGCAAGATTTTGAATTATTTGCACGTATTACGTAGACGTCATGCTTTCGCAAATAACCTAACCCAATCAAAATGTTTCACAGATGTTCACTCCACGAGCCAAGAGAAGAAAAATTTCGACTCGACTGGCCGAGAAGTAAAAAAAAGAAGGAGGAGAAGCAAATCCCTCTCGTCGGAAAGTTTCCGTTTCCCAGCGACGTTGTTCAATCGAGCATTGGAAAGCTGATTCCGCGAAGGGGGAGGAAAAAAAGAAAAAAAGAAATAGAGAGGAAAAGAAAGAGAAGTGAGAACAGCGGGAGAGTGACATAAAGGAGCGCGGTGTGGGTGTAGGCGATTCTATCTAAGTCCGAGGGCAATGCACCGTGCGTGCACGACGGTCAGAGACTCGCGTCAGTCAGCTTCTCGTTCCTTCGAGAATCTCTCGATCTCCTTCGGTATGCCGACATCGTGCACACTGACGTTAAATTCTCCCTAGGCACCTGCGATCCTCGCGCGAACGGTTTCTTCAGCGCGACGCTTACAACATCATTTCTCGCCTGACGATCGACTGATCGCCAATCTACAATTTTATTAATCTTGGAAAGAAGAAAGGAAGGAGAGGTTCTCGACTTTGTTCAAAGAGTAAAATATATACAATTTTTTTTTATATTTTTTTTTTGGAAAATTTGTCAAGTACAGTTATTACATGTCTCAGCGTTAATATTCAGTATATTAATACACAGTATGTATTAATATATTCAACGTCTTGCGTTGGAATCTTTTTTGTCCCAAAATTGCAATATTTTCTCAGTTTTAAGTGTATTTATGATATACTTGTAATGTTTATATACTAAAATATATATACTAGAAAATAAATAGTAAATATAGTAAATATATATATATTAAAAAGTAAATAGTAAATATAGTAAATATAAAATAGTACTAAAAAAGTAAATAGTAGATATAGTAAATATAAAATAGTACTAAAAAAGTAAATCGTAAATATGGTAAATATAAAATAGTACTAAAAAAGTAAATAGTAAATATGGTAAATACAAAATAGTACTAAAAAAGTAAATAGTAAATATAGTAAATATAAAATAGTACTAAAAAAATAAATAATAAATATGGTAAATATAAAATAGTACTAAAAAAGTAAATAGTAAACATGGTAAATATAAAATAGTACTAAAAAAGTAAATAGTAAATACAGTAAATATAAAATAGTACTAAAATAGTAAACAATAAATACGACTATGTTCGAATATTTCTCAATTTATTTTAAAAGCTAAGTAATTTAATATAATAAAATTTTAAGATAGTATGTATATTTATGATAGTATAGTATATAAGATAATAAGATAATAAGTACAAAATAGTATATAAATATACGTATGTTTCCTCAACTAATTCTGAGAAACCGCGAATTTGAAAAGTTTACGAATTATTTAGTTTTCGTATTTGCAGTACTTGAAGATCGGAGAAAATCGTATCGAAAATCGTATTACACTTCATCCTTGCTTAGTTTCTCAGAGTCCTCGAAATATTTCACTTCAATCATTCGTTTCAATCCACACCGTACATCAAAACTTCGATTTCTTCGAGAAAACAAAGAATTCGATAACAATTTGATCTATCGATCGAAACAAACAAATTTAACGTCGAATTACTGAAGTCTCTCCAAATCGAGAGAAGGGAAAACGATTTCGGCGTTGCGTGTGTCGAAGGTTGAAACAGTTTTAGGGCGATTAGGAGGACGTGCAACGTTTTAAGGAGAGAGTGAGGACGAGTTGATAGTCGCGGCTTCAAAATCAGCTGTCGGGCCTCACGCCTGGAACGATTACTCTCCAATGCTAGGAAACAGCGTCTTTTCAGCGGCTGAACAACCGAGAACCGAGTGCATGCTCTTTTACTCCTACGTAATTCCACGTTTCAACATGCTTGTGCCACGTTAATTTATGGCCGAGATAGCGTCATTGTGACAATCTAACGACGTTGCATTGTCGCTGGAACCACTAACTGCTTAGCGTGACACGAATATACATTTTTCGAGTGCATGAAGGAAACCAGCGCATGAAAGCTCGAGGAAGAAAGAATATCAAGAACACGAGTTCGCGAGAGCTCGTGCTATTTCCCTGTTGATCCATCAAGAAAGTCACAGTTGGTTGAGTCAGGAAATTGAAAGAAGTTGTAATATTAGTTAATAAACTAGATTGCCATCTAGCGGTGATAATTTAAGAAAATAATTTAAATAAAATGAGCGTCCCTGTTATATATCAAAAATTTATAGAAAAGAAAAATTCTCGCTTTCTTTTTTCGTCTATGAAAATTTTAATGAACTTCCTTTAGATTGATCTAACAAAAGTTACAACTGAGTGAAATATTGGTGTATACAGGAATTTAAAATTGTATGAAAGAATGTTTTCGCGAGATTTTTGTATTATTTTTTTCTTTGTCTACTAAAGAAAATTAATTAATTTGTTGAAATAACGAGTAGAGGAATTATATGAGAATATTGTATAAAAGAAATTTTTGATTTTTCATTCACGAAAATTTGCTTATCGTTTGCAGTTAGAATTTCTTTTTTTTTTTTTTTTTTTTTTTGTTGTTTGAAATTTTTTTTTTTTTCGTTGATTGAAATGCTTCTTTTTCTTATCGGAGAAGAACTAACAATAGAGCGTGGTTCTACAGTTATAAATAGATTGTTTTGGCAATGACGCAACGGTGTAATAATAAAGTAAATAGGACAGTGATACGTGAATATTCGAGTCAGATGGTATTATATAGAAGTACAAGAACACGAATTAGTCGAATGAATTTCATCGGTAAAATTCAAACGAAAGTTATAGTGAAAATTATAAATAGAAAGGGCAGAAGGAAAGGGAAAATTACAAAGGATAAAAAAGAAAAAAAAAGAATCATAGAAACACGAAGACGCAGGTGGCACATGTCTATAATTCAATAATAACAATATAAAAGGAAGAATCTTCTCGTATTTTATGATTTTAATGCTACTTTCAACGCAAAATTAAACAAAAAAAAAAAAAGAAAAGAAAATTACAAAAACACGTAAATACAACGAAGTGACACACGTGAAATTAATTAACAATTTAACAATAAAAAGAAGAAGCCTCTTCTACTTCTGATATAATATTATTCTCTTGACTTTAAGTTAAATACAAAGAAAAAAAAGTAGAAAAGAAAAGAAGAAAGAATGATAAAAAACACGAAGATACAACGAGATGACACGCGTGAAATTAATTAACAATTTAACGATAAAAAGAAGAATCCTCTTCTATTTTTGATACAATATTATCATTTTAAACTTAAGTTAAATAGAAAGATTTACAAAATGGAAAAGAAAAGAAGGAAGAATGACAGAAACACCAAGATGCAACGAAATGACACGCATGAAAGTAATTAACAATTTAACAACAAAAAGAAGAATCCTCTTCTATTTTTAATACAATATTATTCTCTTGAACTTAAGTTAAATGGAAAGAAAAAAAAAGTAGATAAAAAAAGAGGGAAGAATGACAGAAACACCAAGATGCAACGAGGTGACACGCGTGAAATTAATTAACAATTTAACAATAAAAAGAACCCTCTTCTATTCCTGATACAATATTATCATCTTAAGCTTCAGTTAAATGGAAAGAAAAAAAAAAAAAGAATGGAAAAGAAAAGGAGTAAGAATGATAAAAACACGAAGTGATAACGAGGTGATACACGTGAAATTAATTAACAATTTAACGCGGTGATACACGTGAAATTAATTAACAATTTAACGAGGTGATACACGTGAAATTAATTAACAATTAATTTAACGATAAAAAGAATAAAAGAAATTTATCTACTTCTGATACAATATTATCATCATGAGCTTAAGTTAAATGGAAAGATTAAAACAAAAAATGGAAAAGAAAAGAAGGAAGAATGACAGAAACACCAAGATGCAACGAGGTGACACGGTTTTTAACGCAACGTCGCGGAATCAGGGGAGGGGAGGGTTGAAAACAGGCGAAGCGGGCCACCGGTTGGCTTCCGATATTAATTTCGTCGATCTTAATTGACCCGGATGCACCCTGTTCGAGTCATTGGCTGCATTCATCAGCGGTCGCGTTACACGGGCCAGCGGCATCGATCATCCGCGGCAGTGACATATGTTTCGTGTGCCTCCGACTTCAATCCACGCGACATCAGAGTAATTGGGAACGACTTCCGTGTCACGGAAACACGTTACGATGTTCCCTAACGAAGCTACGTACCCTTGATTCCCTCCACTTTGCCAGAATTGAACGATCGGGCGATCAAGAGAAAAATTTCTTTCTTTCCTTAACAATTGAACCTTCATTTATTACAGCGTTTCAAATATCGTTTGAAACAGTTATGTTTATATATATATATATATATATTTTAATTTTAAATTTTAAATATATATTAATTTTAAATTTTAAATTTTCGTTGTAAAAATGTTTATATATATATATATATAAATTTAAATTTAAATTTTAAATATATATTAATTTTAAATTTTAAATTTTCGAGATTCTTTTTAATAATTATT